CTCAAAAACTCCCCAGATTCCGCCCCCCCGTTTTTTAAGTTTTTATGTTTTTTTTTGTGAGGGGGTAGGGGAGCCCCCCCCGACTCGAAACCCACCCCTCGCTCCCAAAACCCCCTCCCCGATCGGCCACGGCCGCGACCGAAAGTTCTCGGCCGGAGCGATCACGGCCGGGAGGGTCCCGTCCACGGCCGGCGGCCACGGCTACGACCGAACTCGGCCGCGGCCAGGGGGAAACATAGGCGTCATGCACCTTCCCGGTCTATGGGCTTACTAGCCACGCCAACCTATGACATGGTATGAGCCAGCGCCCTCACCCTTCGTGCGTGCGCTAGGCGCGATCCCGAACCTCGCGATACTCGTTGTGTACAACACTTTTTTTCCTCCTCCTTCCTCCAAATGATGGACGGTGTATGCAGTTTTTTGTCACTCTTTGACACCTTTCGCCACCTACACCCCAATGATTGTACTTTCACTTGCATACATGATAATGACCCTGCGAGACAATCTAAATCATGCATTGATCTCATTCTCCAATCAAATGACTTGGAACAAGCCCTTCAAATTATGATTATCCTACCACGCAGTCCCCACCTGGGCTTGACCACAAGACATGCGGGGTGATCCTTACAATGCGAAAGCTGCCCCATCAGGGCCCTGGTTTTTACAAACTCAACACATCCTTGCCCCATCAGGCGGAGTGGGCCTTCTGGCAACACAAAAAAAATCGTTTCGATTCCTTAGTGACATGGTTCAACAATGGTCTGCTCTACCTTGCGAAGGAGTGAAAGGAATTATCCAAGGAACACGCGGCACAAAGGAATTACTGAGAAAGAGAACTTCATAGTGAACTACATAACCTGGAACAATAAGTAGAATCGCAGGCCAATCCACAAAACCTATGGAGTAACACTCAACACCTAAAACAACAGTTGTTACAATATGCCTAACACAGGTGGCAGGGGCTCAGAGTGCGTAGCAAACTTACAAAGTTCAAAAACGAAGCAATCATGGACACACGTTTTTTCAGTCTAGCCACAACTAGGACTAGGCGTACTACGATCGAGACCCTCTTTGACTTAGAGGAGGGAAGGGAAAACCTGGCCACCTCAACAGCCCACTGCACACGGATTACCAGAACCTTTACACGTCTCAAGTTACAGATCCATTGGATGAAGCTAGGTTGAGGGATCTGGACGATTTCCTTACGCCAATTAGGAAAGCCCCGTCGAGGCAACAAAAAGAAAGCCTGGATAGTCCACTCACCAAGGATGAAATATGGACGGCGCTGCTCCAGATGAAGGAGGGGAAGACTACTGGCATAAATGGCTTCCCAAAGGAATTTTGGGAAACTGTGTGGCCCATCCTGAGCACAAACTTATGGAGCTACTTCCAGAAGGTATGGGAGGAAGGGGACATGGGGGAGGAAGGGGACATGGGGGAGGTGGTGGCCCATCCTCTAGTCATAGTTCTAGAGAATGTCATTCACCCGACTCATACCAGTTTTATGTGCAATAGAAATATCCAGGAAAACATTCTGTTGGTAAATGAAATAGTCAGCCTAGCTAGGCGACAAAAGCGAAATGTAGCTGTCATCTTTATCGACTTTGAAAAGGCTTATGACCATGTTGATTGACACTTTTTGGACAAATGTATGGAAAAAATGAACTTCGGGCCCGCCTTTCACAGATCGATAAGCATCCTACATAAAAAGTCACCACCTGTGTCCAGGTAAACGGTAGGGTGCCCCACCCCTTCCCGCTGCAGTGGTCGGTTAGGCAAGGGGACCTGATCGCCCCTTATCTCTTCCTCTTTATAATGGATGCTTTATCGGCCAACTTGTGAAGCAACAACGACATAAAACGCGTTGAGGTGGCTGGTATCCTGGAGGAGGTGGTCGCGGTCTGCTCCCTATTCGCAGACGACCTAACAATCTTGGCAGATGCAAGTATGAAAAACTTAGAGAAATACAAGCCTTGATGGATAAGTTCCGCCGTTTATCAGACATGACGGTAAATTGGGGTAAAAAAACGTTGGGGTGGTGGCTCCATCATCAGGGTGGCAGGCCACCCGAGACACCGCAAATTACATGGCTACCCCTCGAGGCCCCGTTGCGGGTCCTGGGGGTATCCCTATCAGCAAAAGACAAGACGGAGTCCAATGACGACTGCATAACTGCCCCCATGAGGTCCAAACTACTCAATTGGAACGGGAAGCACACTTCAATTTTTGGACGCGGGCCAGTTATTAACAATGTGGTCTTTGCCTCCTTGTGGTACAAGTCAATTATATGGTCTCTGAGCAAGACAGGATCGCGGGCCTTAAAAAGACAAATCACAGCCTTCCTTTGGAGGGGAAACAACGAGTCCCCCCATGCGATCAGCAGGGTAGCATGGGACTCAGCCCAAAGTGAAAAGAGGGTTGGGGATCATTGACCCGGCCACGCAAGCCCATGCGCTTAGCCTGTGCTGGGTAAGGGCTCTGATCTTCAACCCCGATTCTCCTTGGCGGCCACTTGCGCTGATGCAAATTGCAGCGCTAGCCCTTGAGGCTCCCCTAGAGATAGGAAGACAGGTACTGGAAAATGCCTTGGCGATATAGGGACGGTGGAGTCGCAAAAAAATTCTGGGTGCGCCTACTTAGCACATGCAGGAAATTGCCAATCCCGTACAGGCCACCCCGAGATCGGTGGGAGGAGATCTCTAGGCAACCGTTGTTCGGGAACAAATGGATCACAGACAACCACGGTCAGGTTAGGTGCAGCTTAGACTCCTCATGGAAACTTGGAAAGGCTGGGTAAAACATGGGGCACTACGGGTGGGAGACTTGTGGGATGCAGAAGTCGGGGAATGAAAGAGTGCAGATAGGATAAGGCAATGGCTGAGATACTCTCATCACACAGAAAAAGCTCAGGGGGAACTGACTGAAAGTTTCCCTTTGGCATGGTACCCCATCTTAAAAAGGGGTCCGGTGCTGAAGGAAGGAGATTGGGTGGGGCTCCCTGGGAACCAGGTCCGATTGGAATGGTGCATATGGTGGGAAGCAATGAAGTGCTGGTTGAAGGATACATGTTGGGGAAAGAGGACGCATTGATAGGGAGCATACAACCATTCTTCTGGGTCCGCAAAGTAGAGGTATTTCGTATCAAGGTCATGATGATCGGGGGGGAATAAAGGGCTTTCCACCCGTCGACATCAATAGTAGACTTGACCATCGACCCTGCAAATGGCAGTGGAACCTGGGGGGCAGAAGGGGAAGGGGGGCAAAAGCTACACAACGGCCCATAACCTTTGCGGATATGAAGGTCAAAACGGCATACCGTATACTGAGACCCAAAAGGGAACTATGGGACATGATCTGTGACAGATGGCAGCGGCACCTCAACGTGGATCAAAACACCCTGCGCCCTATCCAATGGTTTCGCAAATCTAAACTGCGGCCAGCAAAAATCTCATCACTACAGTGGCAGGTGGCCCACCAATGCCTCTCAACAAATGAGTGGTTGATCGATCACACCTGACTAGAACAACAGGGACGAGCACTGCCTTGGTGCGCGAAATGTCTGCAGAGCTATCCCTCGAGAAAGAGGATTGAAACAATAGAGCACCTCTTTTTACAGTGCCCTTCGCCAGTGTTATTGTGGCGATGGTTGGACAGGATATGGCGACAGATGGTCCCGGGCACCCTTTGGCCATGGGATTGGAGGGCGTTGCTAACAGGACACTGGCCACAGTGCCCAGACGATCCGCCGACGAGAAACCCCTTCCACGTGGGTAGACGAGTTGTTCTTTGGGTGATATGGTGGAAAAGATGCATTTTGGAAATTGAAGGGGCTTGGGTGGCGGAGGGAAAGGTAACGAAGGTGGTCAGGCAACTGATGCAAGCAGAGATCACCAACCAATGGCAGGAGGCCAGGCAGCAAATGAGTTTCGTGCACACTAAGAAGGACATAGCTAAAATAATCACGCGTTTCTGCGAGGAATGGTTGGGAGGGAGAAAGGGGGGATGGATGGCAGGCGTATCTTGGTCAGGGGAGAAACCCCGTGGAGAGGGAGGTGAAGCAGAGGGAGAGGTGCCCATAGACTACAAACTGACCTTTCGGGACTGGACTGCAATAGACCCAGGCATCCCCCTGAGACCGGCGACTGACTTCCCGAACCCCTTCCCCGCCCACCCATGATCACTCATGGAAGTGCCGCTTTAGTGCCAATGTGTAACTTGCTTTCAACTTTCTAATTTTTTTCAACTACTTCAACTACTGCGGCATGGTTCAACAATGGTTCAGCAATGGTTCAACAATGGTTCAGCAATGGTTCAACAGGGTTCAACATAGGCTCAATCTGGTCCCCATCATGACATCGTAAAAGGACAGCCGAAAGACAGGGAAAAGGGACAGAAGGAGATCCTGTTGGTGCTCCCCAGTAGTTCTCCTTCCGATAGCCCGACGAAGCTCTGACGCAAAAACATGAGGTTTTTAGACATGGGACGTTGGACCCGGTTTCCAGCACAAGTGGTTTTACCGTCTTCTTATTGTCTTGGTCAAAGGAGGGATGCTGAGCCCGGTTCTCAGCAATTTTTTGGCTCGGTTAGTCCGGGTAGACTGTGAGGATCCCAGCCTCAACCTTCTTATTGAAGTAATATCAGACAAGACGAACACGGAGACGTTGCCACAACAGTTCGTCGGTGGGCGCAGCGCTCCTGGCAGCGCTGCGCCCCGGGCATCGCATCTGCGCGGGACTTCTTTCGACAATGCGGTCACGTCATCGCCGTGTGTGAGGAGTAGACCTAGGTACTTTGCGTTTCGCGCCATCTCGCGAATTAGAGAGCTGTGCTTGGGGGAAAATCGCGCGCGTCGCTCCTGTCTTGCTTATGTCGGAGTTCGCGAAGACAAGGGCGGGGAAGAGGTGAATGTTATCTCCTATCTATGTGGGGGTCACTGGACACAGCCATGGCAGGCTCATGGTGAGGAAGGTGGGCGTGCTCGTGTGTGCGCTCTGAGGCAGGGAGTGTAATGCTCCTTTCGCAGTTATCTGGGCCAACATGTGGAAGGGAGATCTGACAGGAGGTAAGTGCGACAAGGTTGAAGAAAGGGTTAACTGCGCTACTACATCAGCAGCATCAATTGGCGGTATTCATCATCATCATCATCATCATTATCTATGAAGTCTTCATTAATATCTGCCCTATGATCTAGGTGTCCAAATCGTGACAGTATCGCCTGGCATTGCAGACATCAACATCATCATCATCATCCATTCGTCTTTTCCGCCAACTCCTTTCTTCCCTCCAACTTTCTTCCCTCCACCTTTCTTTCACTACTACTGTTTCGCTCTTGCTCGTTTCTTCTTCGTGGTGCTACCCCGATTGCTACTTCGAAAGTGGGATTCTGCGCGCTGACTATGTGTGACAGAACAAACAGCGGGACGCCCATAGTAGGATGTGGCGGGGGGAAGGATTGGGGAGAGGAGGCGCAAGGGGGGAGGAGGAGAGTAGGGATAGAGGGGGTGGAGAAGGAGGGAGGGCGGGGAGGAAGGGGGGGGGGAAGGAGGGGGGGAGGGAGATCTTTTTGGCGATCTTCATCATCACCATTTTTATCATCTTTATCATCTTCATCATTGAGTGAGTAGTTTGGCATCATTGTCATTATCATCATCAGTATCGTCATTATCATCTCTAGGATTGACAACAAAGGTAAGCAATCGTTTTCGTCGTCGACATCTTTAGAATTATCATCATCCTTTCTGACTATTATCTCATTATGAATCTTCTCATTACGAATCTAAATAATGTACATTAATTATCATCTTAATTTAAGTCTCAAACACTCGTGATCTTACCTAGTTTTAAAGCGTATTTTTCCTCGTCTACCTATCAGAAATGGTATTTCTCTATACCTAAAATTCCTTGGTTTATAATTCCTAAAATTTGTATTTTCTGAATTTCTTTCACGTCCCATCTAAGTCTTTAATTTAGTTTTTTCGAATATCTTTTCAAAATTTTCCGTTTTTTTCTAGCGTATCTTTGGAATGCCAGTTGGATATGTGTCGGCATCTAATTTCTAAAAATCGCATTTCAGAATATATATCATTCTCCAAGTATTTAGTTTCCTAATTGGTTTTTCGAATTCCTAGAATTATTCTTGCATAATTTAGCAATGCCAGCTGGATCTTTTGTTTTTTCCTCGTTGAGAGTAGCCGTGTATTCCTGATGAAGGGAAGGTGAGCAGGGGAGAGCTTCACTCTGCAGGGGCGACACAAGGAGGGAGGTGTAGCCCCGAAGGGGGTGGGAGCAGAATGAGGGGGTTACCTTATTCTGGGGTTGGGGTGGGGGTGCTCACACCAACGGAGGCAGATTAGGGTAAAGGGCAGGATGAGACATACTTTGGGAGGGAACTGTATGTCCTGTCTCTTATACACATCTAGATGTGTATAAGAGACAGAGGTGCGTGAGATACTTTTGTTTCCTCTTCTTCTTTTTCTTCCCTTTTTTTTTTCTCTTTTTCTTTGGCTTGAACTTGGAAAGGCAGGGGCGCGTTTTTTTGGGGAACACAGACTGAACCAAAAAAAAGGGGTCCAACGACTCATGCCTAAAACCATACTATTTAGGCGGCGCCAACCATAATGTTCAGTGCCTCAACCGACGGAGCTAGCCTTTTTTTTTTTTTTTTTTTTTTTTTAAACCACCAAGTTTGCTAGGTGTGATGGTATGACCCATCACCCCTAGCAACTTAGTTTGTGGCTCCAGTCTATTGGTGGAGAGCAGCACCTGCTGGAAAGTGGGTCCAGCGTCCCTCATACAATGAGAATAATGTCTTGCTGAAGAACATAATCATGTGACAATTGAGCTGAGACCTGCCTCTTCAGTCTGTTGAGGACCGCCAGATATAACCATACATTTCTAGCCCGTCTATGCTCAGAGAATAATTACAATAACCATCATTGCTGGTTCCTGACTTAGGCTGCATGACCAAACCATTGGTTGTCTACTATTGCCATAGCTGAAGGCGGGAATAAATCTGAGAAGTCTATATCATTTTCCAAGTATTTAGTTTCCTAATTGGTTTTTTGAATTCCTAGAATTATTCTTGCATAATTTAGCAATGCCAGCTGGATCTTTTGTTTTTTCCTCGTTGAGAGTAGGCGTTTATTCCTGATGAAGGGAAGGTGAGCAGGGGAGAGCTTCACTCTGCAGGGGCGACACAAGGCGGGAGGTGTAGCCCCGAAGGGGGTGGGAGCAGAATGAGGGGGTTACCTTATTCTGGGGTTGGGGTGGGGGTGCTCACACCAACGGAGGCAGATTAGGGTAAAGGGCAGGATGAGACATACTTTGGGAGGGAACTGTATGTCTCTGGGGATAATGTGGGGAAGGTGGGACCGTCCCGAGT